ATAACTGAGGAAAACCTCCACAAACTGATAGCTATCTCTAGGATACATTAAGTGAAAAAACCCAAGTAAGGAATGCAAAATAAAGTATATAGTATATTATCTTGTGCGTATGACAAAAGGATGCAATTGAAAAAAAAGCACGCTTACCTTCTAAAAAAAAAGAGGAAGAATAAACAAGAAACCAATGATATTAGTGATTTACATGGGGTATGGAATAACTGGAGTGGCGAGATGAGGTACAGAAGGAACAGGAAAGGGAATGACACTTGTAAAGATCACTTTTTTGTCTAGTTTTGTCTGATAGTTCAGGAATCAAAAAATGACAATAAACCAATAAGGATTGGGGGTAGGGTGCACAACTCTAAAATTGAAAGCAAACAGAAACACATAAACCAAAATGTACTGAATTTCAAATGAAAACCACACTGTGGTGGTAGGAGTTGGAGGGAGGGCTAATTTGAGTAAATTGCTAAGGATATTTCACTATATATACTTAGTCTAGGGGGATAATATTGCTAGCAAATCCTGAACTCCTTTTGTTAGGTTTCTTTTTCACAAGGGTATGAATGAAGCAATTCTGAAACCATTTTGTGTGTATGGTAGATGACTGGGCAAATATTAAATGTATTAATGTTGTTGAAAACCAAGTTTCTCAATGTGGAAAAAGGTAAACATCTAGAGAAGAGATTAAACCAAAGAGGAATTCTATGGAATGGGGACTGGAATTAGAGTTATCAGCAAGAACTTATGATTTCTTCCTCCTCTTTTCTTTTCTTTTCGTTTTGTTTTGTTTTAAGAGAGAGTCTTACTCTGTCACTCAGGTTGGAATGCAGCTGTGTGATCGTAGCTCACTGCAGTCTCAAACTCCTGGGCTCAAGGCATCCACCCATCTAAGCCAAGTAGCTAAAACTACAGGCACATGCCACCATGCCCAGCTAATTTTTTGAACTCATGATTTCTTGTGTGTGTGTGTGTGTGTGTGTGTGTAGTCTTATCCACTAAAAGGCCCAGATCTTGGTTTATACATACCATTCCACAATAAAAGAAGCCAGATCCTTGGAGAAATAGTCAATTTTAGAACCCAAGTAAGGAAGCTACAAGATGGACCAAAAAATATCTTACTGTGCCAGAAAGCAAGGGGAAAAAAAATAGGATATGCAAAAAGGACACAGGAGGCAACTTAAAGGAACTCCTCACAGCCAAATCTGAGGCAATACGAACAATAAAATTAAAGAACAGTAATGAATTATAACCCATAATAGGAACCACGAGTCCTTCCTGATAAGAGATAAATAGCTAGATGCATAAGTAAGAAAGAAGGAAGTGTTCTTCCTTACAGTAGAATGCCAACTGACGATTATAGTTAGAAAATCATCCCACAACCATCATAGCACAGTTCATACAAGAATAATAAATGGGTGATACCTCTAGGGGTAAAAAATGGAAGAGCAGGATATTAATTGCATGATCTAAAAGTGTCTTACCAGAAACTGCTTATTAGCTTTGAGAAGAAAAATAGCAACTACTAGAGGAGAAACCAGATATCATCTTGATTAGATAATCAAAATAAAAACCCACAACAAAGGACTGACAGATATCATATGCCTCTGGATGTGATTATCTTAAAAAGGACATAACACAGCCGGGCTCGGTGGCTCAGCCTGTAATTCCGCGACTTTGGGAAGCTGAGGTGAGTGGATTGCCTGAGCCCGCGGGTTCGAGACCCGCCTGGGCAGCAAGAACTCATCTTTACAATAAATCAAAAAATCAGCCGGGCATGGTAGCGCATGCCTGTAATTCCGGCTACTTGGAAGGCTGAGGTGGAAGGATTGCCGGAGCCCAGCAGGTCGAGGCTGCGGTGGCCGGGAGTGACCACTGCACTCCAGTCTGGGCGACAGAGTGAGACTCCAACTCAAAAAAAAAAAAAAAAAAAAAAAAAGGACATAACAAACTGGGTCTGGTGGCTCATGCCTGTAATCCCAGCACTTTGAGAGGCAGAGGTGAGAGAATTGGCCGAGCCCACAGTTTCGAGACCAGTCTGGGCAACTTGGCAAGACCTCGTCTCTACTATAAGTCAAAAAATTAGCTGGGTGTGTGGGCGTGCGCCTGTGGTTACAGCTACTCAGAAGGCTGAGGCAGAAGGATACCTGCATCCAGCAGGTTGGGGCTGCAGGCTGCGGTGGCTGTGAGTATGCCACTGAACTAGAACCTGGGCGACAGAGTGAGACTCTGACTCAAAAAACAAACACCCCCCCCAACCCAAAATACATCAGTTACGTGCCATTTTCACAGAGAATATACAACCTAGGTCCAATCATGAAGAAACACTGGACAGTCTCAAACTGGGCAAAATTCTGTAAAATAACGTTTGTGTATTCTACAAAAATGTTAATGTCATGAAAGTCAAAGAAAGGCCAAGGAACAGTTCTAGATTAAAGACTAAGAATGACAATTAAATGCAATACAATATCTTGGACTGGATTCTAGACTGGACAGAAAAATAAATGCTATTATTCATTTAAAGGACATTACCAAGATAACTTATGAAACTTGAATATAGACTGCAAAACAGTGCCCAGGGTTGAATTTCCTCAATTTGGTAACTGTGTTTATGTAAGAGAATATCCCTATTCTCAGGAATAAACTCTGAAGTATTATGTGGTTTAAGAAAAAAATGCGCCGGGCTAGGTGGCTCAGCCTGTAATCCCACGCCTTTGGGAGGCTGAGGTGAGTGGATTGCCTGAGCCCGTGGGTTCGAGACCCGCCTGAGCAGCGAGACCTCATCTCTACAATAAATCAAAAAATCAGCCGGGCATGGTAGCGCATGCCTGTAATTCCGGCTGCTCGGAAGGCCGAGGTGGAAGGATCACCGGAGCCCAGCAGGTTGAGGCTGTGGTGGCCGGGAGCGGCCACTGCACTCCAGTCTGGGCGACAGTGAGACTCCAACTCAAAAAAAAAAAAAAAAAATGCAAGGTGTATACAAACTAATCTCTCAACTGATTTAAATAATAATCTTGTGCATGTGTGGTTTTAGGTACACACGTAAAGTAGGGGAAGGAGAAAGGGAAGAAAGGAAGAGGAAATGATAAAGCAAAAGTAATAAAATATTAAAAACTGGTAATTTTAGGCCGGGCACAGTGGCTCACGTCTCTAATCCCAACACTTTGAGAGGCAGAGGTGAGATGATTGCCTGAGACCATGGATTCGACACCAGCCTGGGCAACTTGGCAAGACCCTGTATCTACAATAAACCGAAAAATTAGCCAGGTGTAGTGGTGCACACCAGTAGTTCCAGCTTTGGAAGGCTGAGATGGAAGGATAGCCTGAGCCTAGCAGGTTGAGGCTGCGGTGGTTGTGATGTGCCACTGCACTCCAGCCTGAGTGACAGTGAGACTCCAACTAAAAAAAAAAAAAAAATTGGTAATTTTTGGTAAAGAGAATATGAGAGGTCCCTGTGTAATTTATGGAACTTATCTGTAATTTTGAAGTTATTTTAAAATTAAAAAAAAGTTTTTTTAAAAAAGAGAGAAAAGAGTCAGGCATAGTGGCTCACACCTATAATCCAAGTACTTTGGGAGGCCGAGGCAGGATCACTTGAGCGCCTAGGAGTTGGAGATCAGCCTGGGCAATATTGTAAGAATCTGTCTCTACAAAATAAAAAATTTCTTAAATAAAAAAAGTAAAAAGAAAAGAGACATAACTGGATGCGGTGGCTCATGCCTGTAATCCCAGCACTTTGGGAGGCTGAGGTGAGAGGACTGCCTGAACCCACGGGTTTGAGACCAGCCTGGGCAACTCAGCGAGACCTCATCTCTACAATAAATCAAAAAAGTAGCCGGGCGTGGTGGAGTGTGCCTGTAGTGTGCCAGCTACTTGGAGGGCTGAGGCAAAAGGATCACCTGAGCAGGTCGAGGCTGCGGTGGCCGTGAGTGTGCCACTGCACTCCAGCCTGGGTGAGAGAGTGAGACTCCTACTCAAAAAAGAAAAGAAAAGGGACACACACATATGTCCCTTAAATTTTCTGGAAGGATACCCCCAAACTTCAAGTTCTCAATTAATAAGGAAGGGAAGTAGATGCGGAAAGGAGCCTCTCTGCAAAGATCCTTTAAATGACAGAGACTGCATTCCATCCAGTGGTTTTCTTACAGCTTCTAAGTCAGGGGTCCCTAACCTGGGATCAAAGGATCCAAGGAGTCTGTGATTAGAATTCACTGAGTCTATTAAGAGGATAGGGGAAAAAATTATACTTTAATTTCAGTAACTGATTTTTTCTTCAATTATAAATGCGGGCAATACTGACAATCTTCAGCAATACCTGTGACTTTATCACTAACATAAATCACATATATTTTCACTTCATGTTAGTTGTTGAGATTCTCAAAATAGCTTATATATATACACACACACATATCATCCAGCATTTCCATAATATAGTAATTACACTGACTACTAGACTGTAGTAAATGAGATACATAATAAAAAACGTGTCATATCATAAATTTGCTTTTTAAATATTTTGATAACTACATTTCAAAATAACTGGCTTCTTTGTAATCCTATGCATTTTATTTTATCCACTTAAAAATATCATTCTGAAAAGTGGATCGTGGGCTTCAGACTGCCTAAGGGTTCCCAGGCACAAAAATTTAAGAACCTCTGCTCAAAGGCCCATTTGTTTACAAGTATGTCACAATGAGAATTAAAAGTTGCAGTTGTTTACTTTGTCATAAAGCAAATTATAAAAAGATATACATCATAATGAATATTCAACCCACCCTTCTTATTTTTCAGTTTCTAAAGAGTAATTTCCTCTAAGAACTAGAGAAAAAATTATTCAATAGTAACTACAACCACACACAGAGCATCCCATAAGAAATATAACACTCACATGTAAAACATACAGGCAACTACAAAAATGAATCAAGACTGAAACGTCTTATAAAGAAACTCAGTGCTTACACATTCTTCAAGAAATTGATTAAAAACAAGGTACTATTTACCATCTCTCTTTTGGAAAATTTTTTAAAATTTCTTTAATGATTGGCTGGTAGCAGGCATCTCTTTCTGCTTTCCCAGTTTCACTCCAGTCTCTCACAAACTGTTTCAATGTGGATTTTAACTTATCCATGTCAAATGTAGATGCTGGCATAATCTTTCCATTCCCCTGTTTTTTAAAAAAAAAAAAAAAAAAAAAAAAGACAACATTTAGCTTTTGAGAGAGTTTTTTTGTTTTTTGAGTAGGAGTCCCACTCTGTCGCCCAGGCTGGAGCGCAGTGGCATGCTGACACCCACCGCAGCCTCAACCTGCTAGGTTCAGGTGATCCTTCCACCTCAGCCTTCCAAGTAGCTGGAACTACAGGCATGTGCCACCCAGCTAATTTTTTGATTTATTGTAGAGACGAGGTCTCACCAAGTTGCCCCAGCTGGTCTCGAATCCATGGCAATCCCCTCACCTCAGCCTCTCAAAGTGCTGGGATTATAGGCGTGAGCCACCGCGCCCAGCATTCAATTTTGATTATAGTTAAACAGACATACTGCTAAGGGACTATAGAGGTGGTTTAGTGGATAAACTGCTAGCCTCTCATCTCAACTGGGGTTCAAGTAAAGCTTGAGATCCTAAATGAAAAGAGTTTGGTGGTCTCACATCTACCCTTCAAAGATTAAGGTTCATTCATCCTAAAACCACCATAAAATTAAGCAGACTTTACTCAGGAGAGGACCAGAACTGAGCTGCTATGGAGACCAAACATCCTCTCTCTAAAAGAGAATACAGTCCCTCCAGGTCACTGATAAGGCACCATGGAGTGGCTCACTGGACTGGCCCAACTGTTTCCATCCTGTGGGTACAACGAGAGGACTTCAGTTTCTATTACTGCCAGTTCCTTGTAAAAATAATTTCTTACAAAAAAAAAAAAGATGAATATCAACAGACACAAGATACTGAAAAAATATGAGTTAAGCAAGGGAAATTAATTATATATAGCTAGTAAAGTTGTTTGTAAAAACTTAAGTCACCAACCCTTATATAAGCTAAAACATTTAAAACATTATGTTAAAGTGTATTAAAATGTCAACAATTATATTAGTAATAGCAACAACAAAAAAATCAGTGAACAAATGCAGTCTGTGGCGTACTGTTCTACTATGCCTAACCAAATGAACATACAAGTGAAACAGTCTGAATGGCCTGTTCCAGATTATAAAAATGAAATCAAGAAAGATAAAAACCTCAAAATATGAAGGTTAACCCTAAAATAAGAATAGAACAAACTTTCACATACATCTTCTCCATATTCTTTATTTTCAAACATATGTATGCAATCATTCACAATGGTCAGTAGTATTTCTTGATTATGATCAATGCATTTCCGGATCTTGTCCAAGTGAAGAAGAAACTGAGGAAGTAGTTTCTGCTGATTAGCTGGAAGTGATCGAAATTGTCTTTCTGTTCGGTTCACTCGCTCATGCATACTGGTGCTAAAACATAAAAGGTGTTTTTTAAATTGGCAAAAGAATTCTCATCAGAGGCCAATCTTACTTTTAAGGTTGTCTTTCTGTACAACTATTCCCTTATTATGTTGAACCCTATCCTGCTCATTTACAATCCCTCTTGGGTTTTAATATCAACCTAGAACATTTTACAAAATACAAATGGTTGGTAATTGGTAAAAGTAAACATCTGTACCAATTAGAAGGGGGAAAAGAGGAAATATAAAGAGCAATAGTGTACAATGAGTTTATTCTTATGATTTCGATGTTCAAATTTAAAATTTTCAGCAAAATCAATTGAAAGCTTAAAATTTTTCCATCTTTAAGTAGTAAAATGCTGCTGGAAAATTACAATACATATATATAAAATATGTTTTGAAATTAACTAAAAGCCAGCCAAGTTGAATGTTTTTACAATCATAAAAGAGCTTATATCCTACAAAAGTACTAAACAAATGGAAAATTGAAATTCTATGGGGTTTTACGTAACAATATTCACAATTTGCAATCCAAGTTTCCAGATAACTCTAAAGGACACATTAGGGACTACTTATTCATAAAACTAGAAAAGAGAACATCATTTTTAAAAATTAAGTATATACTCACACAATACGTCTTTTTACATCAAACATATGGGCAAAATTTAACAGCCTAACTATATCGAATTTGGAAGAAAATGTAGAATAATTAGGACATTTAAACACCTATGGTGAGTACATAAATTAGAAGCATTTTGGAAAATAATTTAGAGCATTACCGTAAAGTTTTATATGGTACTTGTCTTGTGACCTAGCAATTGTACTCTTAGACATATATTTAAGAAACTATTACAAATGGGCACCATAAAACATGAACAGCTGGACACGGTGGCACATGCCTGTAATCCCAGCACTTTGGAGGGCAGAAGTGAGAGGAGTGCCTGAGCCCAGGGGTTTGAGACCAGCCTAGGCAACTTGTTGAGACCTCGTCTATACAATAAATCAAAAAACTAGCCAGGCATGGTGGTGTGCGCCTATGGTCCCAGCTACTTGTAAGGCTAACGCAGAAGGATCACCTGCGCCCAGAAGGTTGAGGCTGTGGTGGTCATGAGCATGCCACTGCACTTCAGTCCGGGCATCAGAGTGAGACTGATTCAAAAAAAAAAAGGAACACTTTTTCTTTTTTTTCAAGTTGGAGTCTCACTCTGTTACCCAAACTGGAATGCAGTGGCACACTCATGGGTACCACAGCCTCAACCTGCTGGGTTCAGATGATCCTTTCACCTCAGCCTTCCAAGTAGCTGGAACTACAGGTGTGCATGACCATGCCCAGTTATTTTTTTTTTTTATTGTAGAGATGAAGTCTCACCATGTTGCCCAGGCTGGTCTCGAACCTGTGTGCTCAGGCAATCCTCTTGCCTCTGCCTCCCAAAGGGCTGAGATTACAGGCGAGAGCCACCATTCCCAGCTAAATATGAACAATTTTCATCAGGGCACTATTAGAAATAACAAACAAAAAAATCTGGAAACAACTCAAAGGGCTGCTATAGTAGACTGAAGAAATTATAGTATAGTTATACAATGGAATATAGTGAAATGAATAAACTATAACTCACACAATATGGATAAAACTCAGGAATGTAAGTTGAAGAAAAATATATAGCTGGGAGTGGTGGCTCACACCTGTAATCCCAACACTTTGGGTAGCTGAGGCAAGAGGATTGCCTGAGTTCAGGAGTTCAAGACCAGCCTGGGCAATTTGGCGAGACCTCGTCTCTACAATTAAAAAAAAAAATTAGCTGGGCATAGTGATGTGCACCTGTGGTTCTGGCCACTTAGAAGGCTTAGGCGGAAGGATCGTCTGAGCCCAGCAGGCCGAGGTTGCAGTGTCCGTGAGCGTGCCACTGCACTCCAGCCTGGGTGACAGAGACTGACTCAAAAAAAACAAAAAAGAAAGAAAAACATAATATACAATTGTATTTTATAGAAAACTAAACAAAATATTGTTTAAAGATTGAGAGTATGTGGAAAAACTACAAGGAAAGCAAAGAAGTGAAAATTCAGTGATTTTCTTTGAAGGGGCAGAGAGACAATGTTTTTTCTTTAAAACGAAGTGGTAGGTTTATGGGTGTTCACTGTGTCATTCCTTATTTTATATATGCACATATGCACATATACATGCACATATATATAATGCAACACACATATATATAATGCAACCTCACAAACACACACATTTGGCATTTACTCAATATTAAATGAAAACGAAAAATACTTTTTTCATTTGGTTGCCTAAATCTTACACTCTATTCATCCCATCAATTCTCTCATTTTTATCTTCTTATGCCAAATTGCTCTCTAATTTCTGAACACTAATAAAGAAGTTCAGAAAAGGCACTTGACAAAACTTAAAAACCTGGCCATGCTTTTAGAAGCTTATTGTGTGGTGGTTTGGTAGGGGCACCCTTACTGGTAATGTGAAAAGATCAAGTTGGCAGTGCCTGCATTGAGGTTTACTATCCTCCTCCCCTAGACAGTATGATAGTGAACTTTGAAGTCAGAAAGATCTGGGTTAAATCCAGGCTATGCCACTTATTTGCTACATGACCTCATACAGCAAAAGGTACTTCCTTTCTCTGTGCTCCAACTGTCTCATATACAAAAGCAAGATAATAACAAGAATGATGATGATCGTACAAGCTACCATTTATTGAAATTTAATAAATGGCAGGCACTAAACCAAGCCAATTAACAGGGATTATTCTGAAACATCTCCATAAAATCCCTCGAGGTAGGTACCATTATGTTCCTATGCCTACCCGATAGGGTTTCATTGGAAATAATGTACTCAAAGCATTTAGCCCACTGGCTGAAGACAAAGCAAGCTCTCAACAAATAGTACGTATGTCTAATTTATATAATGAATATGTTTACAGTGAAAATATGAAAAATGCAGAAAATTAAAACTGCTCAGAGAAAGAAAGTCTAATAACTCCTCTTCTAAAGGGAACCACTCCTAACCTTTTGGGAATATTATTTTTCATCAAGACAAAGTCACCTAGCATCTTTCTTTCTTTTAAAGTGAACATTGACAAATAAAGTTGTATATATTTATGGGATACAAAGTGATGTTATAATACATGTATACAATGTGGGATGATTGACACTAATTAACATGTCTATCACTTCAAATATGTATCATTTACTCCTCCTGTCTATCTGGGACATTGTAACCTTTAACCAATATCTACCTATTTCCCCCAAGCCTCCAGTTTTTACTGTAACCACCATTGTACTCTCTGTGAGATTAATCATTTCAGATTCCACATACAAGTGAGAACATACAATAGTTGTCTTCCTATGCCAGGCTTATTTTCTCTAGCACCTTTGTATTCAAAATGTACACAGAACAGCAGATCACTTGGAAATGGTTAAGAATGCAGAATTTCAGGCCCTACTCAAGACCTACTGAATTGTATCTGCCTTTTAATAAGTACCTCAGGTGATTAATACATTAGAGCTTGAGAAGCATTTATAATTATTCATCTTTATCAAAGGAATTTTCCCAGATCAAAAAATAAGTTCTCAAATATAACAATTGGTGTTCATCATTTCATCTTATGTAACCAACAGCTATTTAGCTATTTTTCAAGTGCTGGTCACGTAGATACTTTCACTTGTTTTCATGATGAAATTTTTGTGTTTTAGGCCAGGTGTAGTGGCTCATGCCTGTAATCCCAACACTTTGGGAGGCAGAGGTGAGAGGATTGCCTGAGCTCAAGGGTTCTAAACTAGCCTGAGCAACATGGCGAGACCTCATTTCTACAATAAAAAAATTAGCTGGGCATGGTGGTGCATGCCTGTGGTTCCAGCTACTTGGAAGGCTAAGGCAGAAGGATCACCCGAGCCCAGCAGGTCCAGGCTGCGGTGGTCATGAGCCATGTGCCACTGCACTCCAGCCTGGGTGAGACTCAAAGTGAGACTTCAACTCAAAAAAAAAAAAAAAAAAAATTGTGTTCAAAATCTGTGTATATTATGGGAAAAAATTAGCATAAATCTACAAAAGCAGAATTACCAGGTCAGAAGAAGTGTTTTTAAGGCTCTTGACACAAAGTGATTTTCAGAAATAGAGTATGACACTAAAGAGAACTATTTAAAGTGACCATAGTAAGCTAGGAAAACAACTGAACTCAACAGTTTACAATTTACTGCCAACAGGTTAAACAGTCTCAAGGAAACTTTCTTTCTACTATTTATTTCTGGGCTTTAGATGCCCCATAACCTCCCTGTCACACTTCAAAACTCATACCCAAACTGAACTTAGCACATGCCCCACAAAAACCTGTACTCCTTCCTATATGGTTAATACTGATGAATGGTACTCCATAAATGCGCCCAAGTCAGAAACTCAGGAGTCATCCTGCAATGCCTCTTCTCTTAGTCCCACAATAAGTCCAGGATACTTTTCCATCCTACTTCATAAAACTGTCTGCAAATTACCACATCTCTAATGCTTTACCTCAAGCCCCACTATGTCTCCCAAAGATTGCTGAGAATCCTGCTACTTAGGAATACTGTTCCCAGCTGAAGGCTGTCTTCAGTCTAATTCCTCCTCATCCCCACATCTAATCAGATGATTTTTTTTTCTTTAAAGAAAGAAGGGTCTTGCTCTGTTGCCCAGGCTGGAGTGCAGTGATGCAATCATAGTTTACTATAACCTCAAACTCCCAGGCTCAAGTGATCCTCCTGCCTCAGTCTCCCAGGCAGCTGAGACTATAGGCATGTACCACCCCTAGCCAATTTTACTTTTGTGGACATAGGATCTCACTAAGTTGCCCAAGCTGGTCTAGAATTCCTGGTTCCAAGCGATCCTCACCTCAGCCTCCTAGTGCTGGGATTACAGGCATGAATCACTGTACCTGGTCATTATCAGATGAGTTCTAAAATACATGAATCTCCATATTTCAGCATATATAAAAAACAATAAACCTTCAGTTACACTCCCAAGGT